TTTTTAGTGAATATCGGCCGATATTATCGGACATCCCTACACAACACATAAACTGGATACTCCAAAAACCTGATCATAACCAGGATACTAGTGAACAAGTAAAGGCACTCAGTGTGGCACTTGAAAATGAAACCATTTTTGAACATCCAAGAATAAAGAGATCATACTACTTAAATAAAGTAACCTGCCTTTTAGAATGAAGTACTCTCATCTGTTTCTCCCAGGGGTGAACTCAAAGTCAGCAAGGGTGCTTCTGATGCTGGTTATCCCCGGTCACCTGGTCTTCCTCTACGCCATCTCTCTGCTGCAGGGAGAGGAGGCGCCTATCTCTGTAGCCTTCACCGTCTGCTACCTGTGTGCCGCTCTGGTACAGGTAAACTGATGCAACCTCACACACACATTCTCTCTTCATATTCCAGTCAATGGTAGTTAATACAGAATGCTTTCTCATGAACCTATTGGCCTTCAGTTGGCCTTGAAGTTTCACATGACACTCTGATACAAACTGTGGAAACCAGTCATCAGAAATTAGACTTTGTACAGTGGGATAAAAATGGCTGCTGCCACCTGTTACCTAACTGTGAAAAGACCGGTGCCAGGTGTTGGTGTTTCAGCAGCTCAGTGACAGAACCGAAAGTACACCGCAGTCCTGCCACGGTCACCTTTCTGAACTCCTCAACACGTCATCTCAGCTGTGAAGTGTTTGTAAAAAGCTGAGACTCATTAAACACGCAATGTTTGACGGTACTGTTTTTGTATCCTTTGGATACTCAGTGACTGTCTGGCAACCTCTGTAATCTCTTGGAGGTTGGAATAAGTCGCAGATTTATTTATCTGCCGAGTCCAGAAAAGCTGACTTAGACCTTGAATGATTTCACTGCTTGGAAGATTCATAATGAGCTTGCTTGAGATCACTTGCCTAGCTAAAATAACACACAAAACATAGGCAAGTACAGAGAGAAACACACTTAGACATATAGTCCAGTGGTTGGTCAACCTTTCTTTGTCTGACGTACACCCTCAGCCCTATAACTGGATATTATATAACACTATAATGTGGAATGTAAAGTGAATTGAATTGTCACTGTGTTCATGCTATTTGGAGTGGCAGGAGCTGGACAGTTCAACCATCCATCCATTACTTTGAACTGTCTATTTAAACTGGTTATACATTACTATGAACAAACTGCAGGGTTGCCACAAGTCTGGAAAGTATTTGAAAGTACTTGGATTTAGCCTACCAGAATCTCAGTTAGAGCCCTCTGTGCTCCGTCATCTTAACTGTCACCTGTAATACCATTTTTATCCACCTGGAGCGCTGTGCCAAGCAGGATACACTTTCTTCCAATCTATCACTCTCCACATAGGCGATGTGTGTCACTGTGTCGTGTCGTTGGCTGTTGTGCTCTCTCGTAGGTGGTCCTACTTTAATAATGCAGCATTGTTTAGGTCAGTAAGGCTAGGTAGAAGTGTGTAAAACACGGAGTAGTCAAAGACAGGATAGTTCGATAAGTTGTTTGTTTAACTCGTATTTTCCATACCTATTCCTTAAAGAAATAGCCGTAATGTAATTATTATTATTATTAAATTATTTTAAAGATTATTTTTTCAGCACATATGACAATTTTTCCAACATAAAAAATATTTTGTCAAAGCCTTTCTGGGTTGTTTTTTTCTCTAACAGCAGCTTTTTCAGCTCAGTTTTCTTCTCCCTCTAGGTGGCCATCCTCCTTTACGTTGCCGACCTTATCATCCGTGTGATGTGGAGACGGAGTCTGGACCCAGACAACTTCTCCATCCCTTACCTGACCGCCCTAGGGGACCTGCTAGGCACCGGCTTTCTGGCCCTCTGCTTCCGCTGCGTCTCACTGGTTCAGAGCCTGGGTCTCTGAATTTGTCCCCCTTTACCACTGAACTTTTAGCTGTCTTAACTGTCTTGTTGCACCAATTTTGTTACATTTACACAGAGATGCTTTTGATCGGACAATAAAGCATTTTCTGATGGTTATCACCGAGCCAGTTAGTACTGAGGATATATCTTTGTCACAAATTCAAACCTTTACAGTGATGAGACGGCACAGGGGACACCCATCCATCTGGGTGAAGGGTTTGCTGTCTGAACACGTCCAGCCAATCTAATTTAGTTTTAGTTCTCTGTCCTTCAGAGCGTCTACTACAGTATATTGAACTTTATTTGATCATTCCTCTTTATCTATCTGTCTTTTAGTTTTCCTGACTCAATATGAGTGGTGGCCCTGTGCTTACCTCGTCTGTCAGTTCATCTCTTTGGCTTCATCAGAGGAATATGTAGCAACTTTGCATCATAGCAGCAAGGCTGAACATTTGGTCTGCTTGTGGACACTTGTTTGAACTTGTGGATAGAACAAACAGACTTGGATCAGTCCATGTTTTGGGTGGGCTGTACTATGCATTAATGGAAGTTGACGTATGTAGTACACTAACTGGAATTTTGGAATCATGATGACTTATTTAGAATAAATGAGACAGGTTTTGTTTTCATGAGAAATCAGGTTACGTACCTGTAACACACAGGGGAATGTTTTATCATCACATGAAAAAGCCTCAATCTTTTCATATTGTTTACTGCAAGTTCATTGTTGAGGTACTGTAACAGAGGCAAACAGACAGAAGGGCGTAATTAGTAATTCCATGGCCAAAGGACAAATGGCATGGCTGCACAGTGGAAGAAGACGATATCAGTGCATGTAATGGGAGTTTGTGTCATTCACGTGCAATGGAATCACCTCTGACCTGACAGTGTCACGACGTGTTTGTTGGAGAATTTTTTGTGAAATGAGGTGAAGGGCCAAACAGAACTGACCACAGACCGTTTGACTGTAGGAGGGAGGGTATCCACCAGCAAGTTCTTGACAGCTACAAATTTGTATGTATCTAGAATCCCTCCTGTGATGGCACCTACTGACGTTCATACTTAAAATTGAAAGTTTGTCCTGAATAGTGGGGGGAAAAAAGCTACTAAAAGCTTAAAGGAACTATACAACATTTTGGGAAATACTTATTCACTTTCTTATTCACTTTCTTGCCGAGAGGTAGATAACAAGATTAATACCACTTTTGTGTCTGTATGCTAAATATGAAGCTATTATTAGCAGTCGGCTAACTTAGCTTAGCATAAAACTGCTGGAAACTGCCAGCCCGTTTCCCTCCAAAGGAAACAAAATACGCCTACCAACACCTTTTAAGGCTCACTAATTAACACTTTGAATCTAATTTGTTTGTCGTACAAAAACAGAAGCGTTAAAATTATAATTTGCCGTATTACAGTTGCGTTTTTTTTATATGAATTAAACAAATGAGATATAACATGTTAATTAGTGAGCTGTGTTTGTAGGAAGATTCTGACAATGCCAGGCTAGCTGTTTATCCCTTTTTCCAGGAGCATGCTAAGCTAAGTTAGTCATGTACTGGCTTTAGCTTCATACTTAGCATACAAACATGTACATTGTTTCAATCATCTCATCTAACTTAACAAGAAAGCAAATAAGAACATTTTCCAAAATGTCTTAACTTTTTCTTTGAGGTTTGTAATAGCATCTGCTCATGTACAAATCATGTGGTACAAAATGCGCTGTGCAACAATCTCTGACCATTGACAGCTGTTCCTTCTCCAAGTTTCATAGCAAGTCACCAAAATACCAAACAGGTGAGAGAGGGACCTATTTGTATCCTGTAAAAATCCAGATCCATCACAAAAACAGATTGTCTCATATGCAGATGATGTATTACTTTTCGTTGCACATACAGTAGGTATATAATGTGGCACTTGCAAACAATAGAGTAATAATCATAAGCAGTGACACTGTTTTTTCAGATTCTGTATTATGTTAGAAATTGTTAAAAGGCCCAGACACCTAAAAAATAATGTTCCAACACACTGTGAAGCCCAGAAAATGTGTCCTCACCTCTCACTATTTGTATAGCAATCTCAATATTAAAAAAAGTTATTTTAAAAAATATTTTATTTTAAATTTTATGCTGCCACTCAATATAAAAAAACAACAAAACAAACAGCAGTGAACTGATGCAGAAAACCTATATATTTGTTTTACCCATCAGCCCAGCTTCATGTGTTACATCGACTATGTAGCTGCAGAGGATCTTGGGTATTCCCTCACTACTTGATACTAATTGTCCCTTTAATGGAGGGTTCAAAAAGCCTTACTGTTTGTTGTTAGAACCATAAAACCTCATCATTACAGCAGTGAGTGCATGTACATGCACATGTTCATTTTAAAGGCGTTGTTCAGACAGAAAGCAAAGCAAATTTTCAGCTTACATCATTCACATGAATTTGACCACTAGGCCGTTTGTTTTCTGAATGACTGAATTCAGAACTCCAGTTATATTTCCACCACTCTGTCCTTTTTCCTTCTTGCCTCTGTACGTTTATGAAGGAAATTCATGAAGCCACAGGATGTGCTCAAATTTTTTTTACTTTTTTAATGTCTACACACCAATCTACGCCACTCTGGTCACATTCGTGTCTAATTGCCCCATGTCTAAAATTTGCTTCTCATTCTGTCTAAACACACTAATTAAACACAGTTTAACATTTAAAGTCATGTTTAAGCGTAAATGAGCTTCGTCTCAAAGATTTACCCGATTTCTGAAAAGAACACAATACACGACACACAAATGTGTGTGTAAATGCACTCATGAAGTCACGGAACATTTTTGCGGTTTGCTGTTGCTAGTATTTTTAGAGATAATCACTGAAATCTGAGGCATTTCTCAAAGCAGCCTGTCTTGTCAATAATCTTCTTGTCAAAGTATTTCAGTGTTAATAGTGCTTTGCTAAAAGCTTTTATGTGACACTGTTACACAGTACTTTCTACACTAGAAGGTAATCAAATATGGATATGTACTATTTGAATCACAGTTTATTTCTGAGCTTACTGTTTGAGATCTGTGTTAACTGTGATACTGTGAGAACTAGATCACAGCTAGTTGTACCAGCACATTAGTGTGTCTTAATCAGTAGGGCTGGACAATATATCATTAAATCTTTATCACATTTACATAGATAACGAATGTTATAGCCTTTTTTTAATACAGCTTTGCCATTATTTCCCTCATATCTGATGTTTGACCTAATTATTACAGTCTGACCAGTTAAAGGTTCTAATCTACTGGACTAGACTTGTTGGTCAGTTATCTGTCTAGTTAGATGTCATTGTTTTTTGTAGCTACTCTTACAGGTCCAGTGTGTAACATTTAGGAGGATATATTGGCAGAAATGGAATATAATATTCATAGGTATGTTTTCATTGGTGTATAGTCTGTTGAAAATAAGAAT